CTTTTAAATATTCCCCAGTGATTTCGTCATCCAGAATCCCTTAAGGTTTTCCACAGTTATCGAGAGAAAATTGCATGAGTAAATGTAACCATGTTTCAGTTTTACCAGAAAGCAAAGATAACCTAAAACAACTGCTTTAATCAATAAATCTAATTTTGTGGTTTTCCAACTTACAATTCCATCTTTCCTTTCTTATCCCCTTTACATAACTACTGGGGTAAATAAACCCATCCTTCAAAAAATTAATAGGCTAACTATATTTTCTTTTCACTTAGAAGACAGGGAAAACAAGAAAAAATGACTCAAACACTTGCATTTCTTTCTCAGTTACTTAGATTTATTAATTTTAGGTTTCTACCAAAATGTGCAAAATATTTAAAGGTAGAAAACAGTATACTCTATTGTACCTGGTCTTCTCAACTGCTTCCAAATGGGCAGAAGAAACTTAAACCACTTTGTTAACAAACTAGTAGTTTGTATAAAATTACTTTTTGTAGTGCTATGTTTATAGGTTGCATTTGAACTCACAGAATCAAAGGGAAGCTTAATTTAGATGGAACATGTAAATATCTAATGGAAACTGTGCCCAATTTTATTAATAGAATTGTAATTGGGCCTCAGTTCTACAGATAGTTTTTCTGCTTTGGCTTAGAAAAGCATTTATTTTCCCTACTAAACTGTCAATCTATGAAAGAAACACCTGACAAATTCCTGGGTGCTCTAAGAAAATAATGGAGTGATGGATTTAGTTATTTGACTGCATTAATGTGGGTCAGAAAACTGGGCAGCTGGAGAGTTTCGAATCAATGTCAAAGAACCACAGGGTCTACCAAGCATGTAACTGTAACTTACATGTAACAGTTATGACATGCAAATATTTGTGTTCTTTGGTTCAGGGGCTAGACCTAAATATTAGACTCAAGCAAAATCATTTTTATTTATTTCTAAATTTTTATTTAATTAAAATTAAAGTAATATAATAATGTTATGTTGCATATATATATGGTTATATATTAATATATTTTAAAATTTTGGAGGGATAAAAGACAGAAATTAAAAGTCCCTTTTTATCAAACAAATTATCTTTGCATATTTATGTAAACCATAGTACTTTAGATATAAGGACAAAATATACCTTAAATCTGAAGCATTATTTTGTTAATGTTTAGCATATTTTATATATTTGATATATATTTTAAATATTTTTATTTATTTCAATAAAGTATCATTTAGCATAATTTCTACCTAATTCATATTTCATATAGTTTTAATTTCTTTTTTTTGGCAGGACTGGGGTTTGAACTCAGGGCTTCATGATTGCAAAGCAGGTACTTTACTACTTGAGCCACACCTCCAGTTTAATATTTCATATTCTTTTAATATAGTTAGTAGATATACTTGAAATATTATGTAAAATGCTTAAAATATATTTAGTACATTTTAGATTTTCTTCCATATCAATACATATACCTTGCATTCTTTGTGACTTTATATAATTTATTTATGACTGTGAAAAAAATTTTTAACCATTATTCAATCACTGCACAGTCTGTTTCACTTTTTTTAGTCACAATGTAATTCTGCTGTGTATACACTTTCTGCACTTATGTGAATATTCTTAATAATAAATTCCTGAAAAGCGAAATTAATAGATCAAAGACTTGTGCATTTACCAAATTTCCAAGAATTTAATAACACTATCCTCCATTGATTTGTATTTCCATATACAATGTATAAGTGTGCCATTCCTTACATCCTCACACACAGACTGAAAAACAGAAAAAAGTATTTAAAATATGATATGCAAAAAATTGCTCTTTGTTGTTTTAATTTGTATTTATTTAATTATAGATGAGGCTGAAAACAATATTGCATGTTTTGGGACTACATATTACTATTTCAATAAATTGCATCTCATTATCCTTTGCCCTTTGTCTTGTCCTGATAAGTATAATCTTTATTAATTTGAAAAAGCTTATTTGATGGAAAAAGCGCTTTAATCACTAAAAATATTTGTTGCCAATTCCACATATCTGTATTAATATTTTTCACAGTTTTCAAAAACTATTATCCAGATGTATCTGGAACTTATTGAGCCATTGCAATTTTTTCACTAGCCATAGTACTTGACTCTTACTTTCTTACTTCATTTATATTTTTCTAACTGTGAAATGTTACAAAGTTAAAACCACATCATTTCTACACAATATTTTATATATTTGTATACAAGGTCTGCTTCAGAAATGAGTTTTTGGAGTTGGTCATGTGTTTCAAAGGACATCAATATGAAGGATAATTGTAAACTTTAATGTTTCATATAATGAATGTGTTTTAACGTTTTTCTCTAAAGCTATGAACCACCCTTAAAGAACAATGAGACATGTTTTTATTCTGGAGGTTTTGGGTGACCAATTTTATCTTCTCCAAAGGGCAATCAGTGTGGTTTCGGTTTTTTGTTTAAATACAAAGAATGTCAATCAAATTCCATGTATTTATTTTATATTTGCTACATTCCAATGACTTTACTAGTTCAAACTGAAAATAAAACTTAGCAATCCAATGACAACAAAAATAGCATACTCTTTTTATCCTTTTGAAAATTATATTAAAATATAAAGAAATCAGAATTTAAAATTCTTTCCTCAGAAAACTAAATTTCAATTCAGAGATAAAGAAGTGTTCAAAAGTTGATACTTCACCTAGTGAAATATCACATCAAACAACAGGAATATTTTAACCACAGGAATAAATGGTGTATCTTGAGGATATGAATACCTATGACCCCAGGCAGAAACCAAAAAAGAACCTAAAATTTTTCATTCCCAGGCATCCGTTATTCCATTATTTTCCCTAGGAATATATTCTTCTATTCTCATCTGCAACACCAGCTAATTACCCAAAGGAACATGTCCCCATGATGTCAACAAGAAAACATGTTATGCTAACTTCCAGGTACCATCTTTGATGCTAAGAAATTGGTCCTCTGTTTTTTTCCATCAGTGTCTATAAAAGCTCCTGCATCTGCATTGGTTAATTTCTAGGGTTGGGGGGAAGTCCTTGCCTTAGGACTTTTGTCTGTAACTCCAGAAAGCCTGTTGGAAGATAGGTCTTTGGCTGAAATGGCAGGTGGACAGAGGAAGGATGCTAATGCTGTTTTCTATTACAATTGTCTCTTTTCTGTATAATTTAACCACCTGATGGAAATTACTCAATTTTACCTTTTCTCTGAAGTAGTACTACATCATTACTCTAATTGTTTTAATCAAATTATAAAATGAAACAAATGGCTTTTGCACTTTTATCTTCAGCAAGAAAATACCTGGAGAATAATAATGCATAAAAGAGTTTGGGCTTGACTGCCAGCTTTTTTTTTTTTTTCACAAGTTAAGATCTTTGTAACTACTGTTATGCAATTGCTACTGTACTTCTTAACCTTCTTACTTTATTAACTGCACTATCTTCCATGAAACTCCAGATACCAAACCAAACCATAGGAAAAAACATTAATATGTGTTCTTCCTGTGTCGTTCAGGAAAGTTGAAACCAGGTGAGCATAAATGAATAGAGAAAACAAAGGCATTTTCTTTTACTATGGTGTGGAAAATAGATCTATTCTAAGAACTTCAAGAAGCTTTCACCAGCCAGGCACAATAGTACACATCTGTAATTCTAGTACTTTGGAAACTAAGGCAGTGAGACCCTGTCTCCAAAAACCAAACATAAAGTGTTTGTTGCTAAAGATTAGTTTTTTATTTGAAGAACAAAATAGCTGACAAAAGTTTTCAAGCTCTTTTACACAGTTTACTAATTGAATATACTGTTGTCAGAAACAGCCCCTGATTTTCTGAATCACACAGCAATCTAGCTGTGCTGTAATACCCATTTAATGATTTCAGTCTAGTCATTCATACTTGTTATCAAAGAATCAACGACTAAGGATGTGGGGTGTGTTGCCCTCTGTGCCTTCCTCTTCTCATACTTGTCTCACTTTTTCTGTCACTTTATTATCATCCTGGTATCCTTTAATCCAGCTTTCTTTATTCTTACCTATATTAGAGTCAAGTTCTTTTCTTTGATTTTTGAATTATTCTTTTTTACATTTCCCTTCATTTACCACATTCTTCTTCCCTTCTCTCTATTTGTCATATTGACTTGCATCTCCTTCTGCAAGCTGAAATAGTTTTGATGATTCTAAAAGGCTAATAGAAGACAAAATATACCCAAAGTTTCTGTTTTATTTATAAATAGAATAGCTTCCCTAACCTTAGCTATCTAAGTTACAGAATTCTATTACTTACAAAATGGATGGTAGACACCTGAGTTGTCAGCATTTCATCAGAATAAAGACCAAAGATATTTGGTAGATAAAATTATATCATAAATAAGTAAAAAGATAACATTGACACTGTGAAGCAAATGCCTACTTATACCACATTAATATAAAACTATAATAGTCCAGCTCAGAATAGGCATAGTTTGTGTTTTTTAAAACCCTCATATATTGAATTCAGCCCTGGATGTCAAATTTTTAGAAAATTATTGTCAATACTTAGGGCATGTGGAAGGCAACAACTTAAGTGAGAATAAGGAAAGTGAATGTCTTGGCCTAAGGAAAATTTAGTTCAGCCAAGGTAACTGCTTATATTTTAATAAAGAGGAATTAGATGTGACGTATATTCAGTAAAGTTTAAACAATTTACTATGAATCTTTACTTTCTCCCTAAGAATAGTAGGGAGAAATTTTCTACAGATTGAAGAGATTATTATACATCAGAATTTTCCGATTAACTTGTCATATGTGTTTGAATAAGTAAGGAACACCTTATATAGCTAGGCAGAAGATATTCTATTACTGAATAGATTTAATGGCACATGTTCCCCAAAGGTCCGTGTGTGTGTGTGTGTGTGTGTGTGTGTGTGTGTATGTTTAAGAAAATATAAATTAAATGGTCTTCATTTTGTTCCTAACAGCTATACAAACTTGATGTGAGAGAAAGGCAATGGAAAAAATCAATGACAGCTCAGAGTATAGCTTTATCTTGGTGGGTTTCTCTGATTGCCCCAAGCTTGAGATGGTGCTCTTCATAGTAAATTTTATTTTGTATTCAGTGGCTGTGCTGGGAAATTCAACCATAATTTTTCTGTGTATATTAGACCCTCGACTTCATACACCAATGTACTTCTTTCTGGCAAATCTTTCTTTTCTAGATCTCTGCTTCAGTACTAGTTGCATCCCACAGATGTTAGTCAACCTATGGGGCCCAGATAAGACTATCAGCTATGCTGGTTGTGCTGTCCAACTTTTCTCTTTCCTTTCCATTGGAGGAGTTGAGTGCATCCTTCTTGCTGTCATGGCATATGATTGCTATGCTGCAGTCTGCAAACCTTTGCACTATATGGTTATTATGCACTCCTAGCTGTGTTTACATCTGTTGGCTGTGGCCTGGGGGAGTGGACTGGTCAATGCCATTGTCATGTCACCACTAACAATGAGTCTTTCCAGATGTGGCCGCCGCAGAGTTAACCATTTTCTTTGTGAATTACCAGCACTGATCAAGATGGCATGTGTGGATGCTCGAGCAGTGGAAATGCTATCCTTTACCTTTGCCGTTCTTATTGTCCTACTGCCCCTCAGTCTTATTCTTGTCTCCTATGGCTACATCGCTGCAGCAGTGCTAAGGATCAAGTCAGCAGCTGGGAGATGGAAGGCTTTCAATACCTGTAGCTCCCACCTCACAGTGGTCTCCCTGTTTTATGGAAGCATCATTTATATTTATATGCAGCCAGGAAACAGCTCTTCCCAAGACCAAGGGAAATTTCTCACTCTCTTCTATAACCTTGTGACTCCAATGCTGAATCCGCTCATCTACACTTTAAGAAATAAGGAGGTAAAAGGGGCACTGAAGAAGGTTTTGTGGAGGAAATAATGAACAGGAGAGGTGTACATTAAGTTATGAAGTTCTATGCAAAATGTTTTTGCAAATATGTTTACTTTTGCTCAAAATAAATCCAGCTAATGTATTAAACACTCTTGGATTTTTTTTATTATATTCCATATGTGCATACAATGTTTGGGTCATTTCTCCCCCCTTCCCCTTGCCCCCTCCCTTACTCCCCACCCCCTGCTCCCTCCCTTACCCCCCCCAACCCCTCGCTACCAGGCAGAAACTATTTTGCCCTTATCTCTAGTTTTGTTGAAGAGAGAGTATAAGCAATAATAGGAAGAACCAAGGGTTTTTGCTAGTTGACATAAGGATAGCTATACAGGGGGATGTTTTTAATATGGATGAATGTACTACATTGTGTCCAAAATCAATAATATGGATAAATCTTAGCAAAATAATATTTGTGAAAAAGAATTAAGTCCCTAAAAAAGTGAAATGATTCTGGTATAAATATAAAATAAACATATTTAAAATTTATTCAATGAGGGAACCAGGCAGATATAATAATTGATTTGAAAAAGTGCACTGAAAAGTAAGAAATATGTATGACAAAAAATTGTAAAATCTAAATAAATGTAGAGATATAGCACTTATTAATCAGAAGATTTAGTATTTAAAGATGTATTGATACTCTCTCAACCAAAATCCAAGCAGAAAGTTTTGAAGATACTGACTAAGTGATCCTACATTTATATGAAAATGCAAACACTAGAACATAAATAATCTTTTTTATTTTTTTATTTTTTTGGTGTTTGAACTCAGGGCCTCACACTCGCTTGGCAATGTGGCACTTGAGCCACTCTACAACCCCTTTTTTTGATGGGTTCAGACTATGTGTCTGGGGCTGTCTTCGAACCACAATCCTCCTGATCTCTGCCTCCTGAGTAGCTAGGATTATAGGTGTGACACCTGGCTAGAACATAAATAATCTTGAAGAAAAAAATATTCTATGGAAAAGACAAATAAGTTAATTGAACAGAAACAGAGAACGCAACAATAGATCTGCACATAAATATTCACATGATTTTCTTAAATGTCACCAAAGTAATTCAATAGAAGAATGGAGCTGACAACTGAACACCCATATGGGGAAGGGGAGATACATGACCCTACCTCATACTATGCACAAAAATTATGCTGAGATGGTTCATAGAACTAAATCTGAAAGCTAAACCTCTGAAGTATTGCTCTTGTTATTTATCACTGCATAACAAAGCACCCCATATTGTACAGGTACAAAAACAATAACCATTTATTAAGTAATGACTATGTGGGTTAAGAACTTGGAAATGGCACATTCAGGATTTCTAGTTTCTGCTCCATGATGCCTGGGACCTCAGCTAGAATGACTAAAAGTCTGTTCCAGCTTATCTGGAGCCGTGCATCTAGAGCTTCATTTCCTCTCCATGTAGCATTTAGGGAAAAAATACCAAGATGACCTTTCACTCATATGGCTGATGTTTGAACTGAGATGATTACACAGCCGTCTGCTTTTTGGGACTGCTCTTTCACCATCATGGTGGTCTCATGGTAGTCAGACTTCTAACATGGTCTTTGGCTTCCTCTAGCATGAATGTCTCAAGAAACTATGGTGGAAGCTTTAAAGCATCTCATGAACAATCTCTCAAAGTTCCAGAATGTCAAATTACCACATTCTGATGATCAAGCGAAGTTACTAAGGTGAGTCAGCCCAAATTCAGGAAGAAAGGAAAAATATATTGTTTCTATTATTAGGGAATGGCATTATGTATGCAAAGAGAGAAGGATTGGTGGTGAACATCTTGGAGACAAGCTTGGAAAAGTGAACATAGAGAAATGTCTTGGAGACTGTAATTCAGTGGTAGAGTGTTTGCCTAGCATGCACAAGGCTCTGGGGTTGATCCCCAGCATGCAATAAAAAGGTCTTCATAAATTTGAATAAGTAAAGATTTTTAAAAACAGGATATAAAAGGTTTTAACAATCTATGGGAGGAATAATAAATTAAGATTCATTCAAAGTTTAAAACTTTCATCAAAACAGAACATCAAAGGGCAGGCCACTGAGTATTAGAAAAGTACTTACCATACAAATATCTGATCAAAAAATTCATACCTAGAACCTATAAAGAACTCCAGCATCAATAAAAGCAACAAAATATTTTTAAACAGGCCAATAACTTGAAAAAGTATTCCACAAAAAGAGATCCAAGTAGCTAATAAACATGAAAAGGTACTCTCCTTGATACTCATAAAAATGAAAATTCTAATTGTAGTAAAATCTCACCACACATAATGGCTAAAAATACACCGACAAAACCAACTGAGGAAAATGTGCAGAAATTTGAACTCTCATCTGTTGCTGGAGAGAGTATTAAAATGATACAACCATTTGGGGAAGCTCTTTGGCAGTTTCTTAGTAAATAATACACTGTATTAGTTATCTACAGCCACATTAACCAAATATCCCAAAGCTTAGTGATGTAAAACAATAATCTTTTCCTTTCCTTATGATTCTCTGGGTCAGCAATTTGGGTTCACCTAGGTGCTTCTTCCACTTGTCTCACCAGGGTCACTCATGTTGCTATAATAAAATGGCTTGACTAGGACTAGACAGTTTAAAAATGGCATCACTCGTATATCTGGTGATGACTTTTTGTTGGTCCACATCTTTTCATCCATCTAGACTAGGCTTGTTTACTTTTACTATTATTAGAGGGGAAGCCCCAATGTGCAAGCACTTTTTAAACCTCTGTTTATATCATGTTTGCCCATTAGCCAAATATATTAATATGACCAGTGTAAGAGAACTACATAGTTCAACATAAATTTAGGGAGGAGGCTATTATTTAACAATATACCATATATACTTATCCTTACACCAACAAGTAATCTCCTAGGCATTTATCCAACATGTGTCCACAAAAAGTTTGCAATATAGCTAGGTGTGGTGGCACATGCTACAATCCCACACTTGGGAGGCTGAAGCAGGAGGATTGTAAGTACAGTGTTTTTCTAGGCTATATAGCAAGGATTTTGTCTCAAAAAAACCAAAGGGAGGAAGAAACCAAAAGGGGGTAAAATGCATTTACTGTCAAATCTTCAAAGACCACCATCCAAAACTGTTAATAAAGCAGAACTGAGGTTATTGGACCTACAACAGAAATGGTAAATACTACAAAGTCTCAAAATGGGGAAATTGGGGAAGGGTAATTATAAGATTTGGGAACATGGATGAGTGATGATAAAGTGGATTTTGTAAGACAAGGAACAGGCTTGGGTTGGGCAGAGTTTATTATTTAATAGAAAGCAAATGTCCTAAAGACATTCTTAAGAAGTACTTTATTTAGTTAGTGTACACTGGAGCAAGCAGGTAAGTTACTATTTCTGTTCTCCAAAGTATTAAAATAGGGACTACAAAATGTGTCTAGCCCCCAGTGAAATGCAGTGCCAGGAAATTATGTTGGCTTTAGTCCTCACCTCATGAACAGTTTGATATTCAACTGATATTAGTAATATTTTTGTGTGTCTTTTCAATGGTTCCTTTCTAAATTTCATCTTTGCTTCAGATTGTAAGAAGTAGCAGTATTAGTGCTACAGTTTGATTATGGTTTTTCCCTTCTGAATCTCATATTGAAATTTTATTGAAATTTAATACATAGTATGAGATATTAAGAGATGGAACCAGGTAAAATCTTTAAGCAATGTTTAGGATTCTTCCTTCATAAATGGATTCATCCATTTGTGTGATTAATGGGTTAATTATCTCATGGGTTGTCTCAAGAATAGCTCTGCTATAAAAGTCAGTTTAACAAGGTCTCTTGCACATTGTCATGTGATATCCCATACCACCTCAGACTCTGCTGGAAAGAAGTCCATCACAGGATATGGCTCCTTGAACTTGGGCCAGAATTGTGAACCAAAATTAACCTCTTTTCTTTATAATTTACCTTATCTGATGATAAGTGAAAACATTTTTGAACTCTATATTTCATATTTTGTCACAGTTTCAGAAGTGTCAAAATGATCACACTCACCTGTCACTAATAGAACCATATCTCAAAACATGATATTGAACATGTCAGTCCCTTTTGTTTAATAACTAAAAGCAATTATTAAAAATTAATAATTTTTGCCTAATTGAATAAATTATTTGGTATTATGTACAAGAAGTCCCAGTAATTTTCATCTCATCTCTCCTAAAATTTTTAATTCACATAATCTCATAAATGCCATCATTGAAGTTGTTATTGACTATGAAAACTCCAAATTATTTCATGATTTTAATGTTAATTTTATAATTCAACAAACAATTTGTTAGACACTGCTAAAAATACAATTGACAGCAATTAATACATTCTCTGCTCTCTTAGAATTACTGGACGGGGGGGAGACAATAAGTAAAATTCAATTCACACATAAATGCACAATTGCAATTTGTATAACACCAACAATAGTAGTCATTATGAATATGTATGAATGTATTGCTTATCACGAGAGTTCTATCTTTATATGTAAAATTATTTAATCTTCACAAAAATATGACTGATATGATTTAGGGTTTTTTTTTTTTTTGCAAATGAGAAAACTGTTGCATAGAAAAGTTAAGTAAACTGCCTATGATCCTGCAAATAATGGCGGGCTTGGGTTTGAACCCAGGGCATCTGAATCCAAAGCCACATCCCTACACCCAGAGCATTGCTGACTGTGAGTTCTACTTACAGGCTATAATTGCTCAGTGTAAGAACTGCAGCCACAAAGTACATTATGGTGTTAACAGTAAGTTGTAGATGTGGGCTACGTGAGAACTTAATGATTTAGGGAATTAAAGTGGTGATCTAAAATATGAGGTTAAAATAAAAGCAGAGAGAGAATGAGTTACAGTTTTGGAGAATGACAGGCTACAAGGACAGGAGCTAGGAAAGATTTACAGCACAAGAACTTAGACAATATGGAGGCTTCTTAAAAATCTAAACATAGATCTGTCACATGATGCAGCAATCCCA